AAAAAAAAGGTCGAGAAGGGAGAGGGTTGACATGTTGTGGGGTTGTTAACCAATGTCATAAAACAATATGTATATTACTGTTTCTTGAGAAACTATTTGTTCTGTAAGCCTTCACCGGAAGTACATTAAAAAAAAAAATCAGGTTTCTATACATCAGCAGTGAGGAAGTGGAAAAGGAAATTAAGCAAGCATTATTTACAATAACATTTAAAAGAATAAAGTACATAGGAATAAATTTAACCGAGAAAGCTGAAGACTTATAGACAAAATTATAAAACATTACCGAAAGAAATTAAAGAAAGAAATTAAAGAAACTCTCCCTGAGGGACTGAATTACTGGGCTGAGGCTAGGAACCATGGTCTCAGGGGACATCTAGCTCAATTGGAATAACACAGTTTATAAAGAAAATGTTCTACATCCTACTCTGGTGAGTAGCATCTGGGGTCTTAAAAGCTTGTGAGCGGTCATCTAAGATACTTAACTGGTGCCTCCCCATCTGGAGCAAGGGAGAATGAAGAAAACCAAAGACACAAGGGAAAGATTAGTTGAAACAACTAATGGCCCACAACTACTACAGCCTCCACTAGACTGAGTCTAGCACAACTAGATTGTGCCCAGCTACCACCACCAACTGCTCTGACAGGGATCACAGTAGAGGTCCCCAGACATAGCTGGAGAAAAATGTAGAACAAAATTCAAACTCACAGAAGACCAGACTTACTGGTCTGACAGAGACTGAAGAAACCTCAAGACTTTGGCTACAGAACACCCGTTTAACTCAATACTGAAGTCACTCCTGAGGTTCATCCTTTAGCCAAGGATTAGATAGGCCCATAAAACAATGATACACGTAGCTTAACCAAGTATACAAGACTAAATGGGCACAGCAGCCCAGGGGCAAGGACGAGAAGGCAGGAGGGGACAGGAAAGCTGGATGAATGGAAATGGGGAACCCAAAGTCAAGAAGGGGAGAGTTGACATGTCACGGTGTTAGCAACCAATGTCACAGAGCAATATGTATATTAGTTGTTTAATGAGAAACTAATTTGCTCTGTAAACCTCCATCTAAAGCACAATTTAAAAAACAACAAAAAGAAAGAAGTTCTAAATAAATGGAAGGACATTCTGTGTTCATGAATTGGAAGGCTTAATATAGTTAAGATGTCAGTACTACCCAAAGCAATCTATGAATTCAGTGCAGTCCCCATCAAAATTCCAACAGCTTTCTTTGCAGAAATGGAAGAGCCATTTGTCAAATTTATACTGAAGGGCAGGGAACACCAAATAGCTAAACAATCTTGAATAAAATAGGAGGACTCACACTTCCTCATTTCAAAACAAATTGTAAAGCTGCAGTAATTAAAACAGCCTGGTACTGGTATAATAATAGACGTATAGACAAATGGAATGCAATTAAAGCCCAAAAATCCATTATGTCTGTGGTCAGCTGATTTTTGACAGGGGTGCTAAGTCCATTCAATGGGGAAGGAATAGTCTCTTCTGTAAATGGTGATGGGAAAATTGTATTTCCACATCCAGGAAAATGAGGTTCTATGCCTCATATCATACACAAAAACCAATTCAAGATGCTATATTTTTATGCAAATAATGCACGCTTTCTGCATTTGTTTGCCGGTCATGCCGTCCCCCCTCGAGGCACCCTCACAAGCACGCTGCCATGCCAATCCTCTTCCACATGTTGCTGTAAAAAAAAAAAAAAAATAGCATAGTGCGCTTATAAAAATGCCTCTCTGAGGGCTCTG